TTCATCTTGCAAAAAAGGTAAAAGAGTATTGGGAAATGATCCATAATGAATTGAAAAAAATGTTTAAAAGGACTTCCCCCACCAAAAAAACACAGAGTCTTTTCTATTGGGGATAATTCAGACTGAAATTCCCAGGTGTCAAAAAAGGCTATTTATGTATGCTAATACTGCGGCCCATGTTTTGTTAGCCCCAAAATGGAAAACGAGCGAAGTCCCAACTAAGAAGAATGGCATCTTAAGTTGACAGAATATGCACAGCTTGCGGATCTAACATATAGAATAAGAGAACAAAAGGAACATACGTTTAAAGAAGATTGGAAAATGTTTATTGAATATATGGGAAATAATTGTGTACAGCTGAAAACACTGGCAACATTAAGATAAATTCAACAGTGTAAATAAGTTTTGATGGATGCAATAGTGGAATACCGAATGGTATAGTTTTTGTAAAATATGCAGGGATTTATGATATGTGAAATGAACCATGGAAAGAGAAGAAGGGAAGTCATTGAAATCTTAAGGATGTAAAACGAGTATCTTAAATTGTAAAACAAAAAAAAAATGATATACAAAAAAGGAACTTTTCTCGAACTACTTTCTCAATGCCATGCATAAGTTTATCAACTTCCATCAAGAGACAAGAGGAAATCTCACATTTTAGCTAACATTTCTAAGGTAAAGTCAATATCCCCTGCATTCGAGTTTGTGACACAGTAGCCTCTGCATAATTTTTCATATGATTTCAGAGGCAAACTGAAGGAGTCAAGCTTCCTAGATTTTTTGCCTGTGACCAAGAACAGTGGGTGCCTTGTAAGGGGAAAGGTTACTGGCAAACTCTGATAACATGCTGACTCCTCTAATTATTGTTTCTAAAGTCCAAAGTCATAGGAAAAAATGATGAAAATTACATTTCACACAAACATCAACATGAAAGAGATTACTGGAACTTCTGAGTCATCATTTGGAACATCTTAATTATATATTGTATATTACATATAAAATGACTCCCATTGTAAAAATGCAGCCCTGTTTGGATGAGCTCAGCTCCTCGATTGTTTTATTATAGGCATTTTCTCGCCACGTGACTTTCGGTTTGCTGGGAAGACCCAACTGCCTTGATTGTTCAGTGGAAATGAGCTTTCCATCAAACATACTGATCTTGGAGCATGCTGTGATAAATTGAGTCCTTACTACAAAGTACAGAATATATACGTGGATGCCTTTAACTGGTTCAAAGAGAAGAGGGAATCTCAAACGGGGATCATTTGCCCAAAGAGTTTGAAACATTGCATCTACCCCAATTCCTTTGTGTACAAAACTGTTAAAATCAAACTCTTCCCACCACTGTTTCATGGCTATTCATCCTTCATTTAAATCAGCAGAGAATGTGAAACCTACTGACGCAGGCCCTCAGAAAACCAAGTTCTTGAAGCCGTTCCAGCTTGTGCTAGTGAAATCAGGGGTGGGCAGGCAGCCGCCATGTTTGTGGCTGCTACTTTTGTTTTTGCTGGAATCCTGAGATTCACCAACAGGAGCCAGGGGGCAAAAGAGACACACAAACTTCAACTTAAATAATCCTGAGCCCAGGAATTTGTTTTGAACACCAGAACTGAACAGTGTTCACAGTCCTTCCACACACAAAAATCCACTCCTCTTCATTCCAAGCTTTCGTTAATGTTAATGTTTCTTTAATGTCCTATCATTTAGGACATTGATGTCATTTTGTTGCTGCTACAGTGGACAATTCGGAACCCGAACGCCGAAAACCCAGAAGTAATTGCTTCCATTTTCGAATGCACCTCGGAAGTCAAACGGCTTCCAAGGTGTGTTTCTCCATTTTTTCAATGGATTTTGCCAGCCGCCCATTGATCCTCAGTTTTTGAACGTTTTGGAATTGTTGAACAGTCTTCTGGAATAGATTATGTTCGAAAACTGAGGTTCCACTGTATTATTAAACAACTTGGGGTCAGAAATCCTTGTCAACCTACTGCCAGTCACCTAGAGATCTACCTTATGTCCATCCCTAACCATGAGAAGAGCTTGTTGGGTCAGGCCAATAGCACATTTAGCCCAGTGACCAATTAGCTGCCTTTGGGACCTCCAAATGTAGGACCTGCATGCAACAGACCTTTGCCTAACTGTCTTTTCTAGGAACTGGTATTCAGAGGTATAGTCCATCCCTGGTTTAAAGAATTATACAATTGAATCATACATTTTTTAAACTCTAATTTTATATTTTCAAAACACTTACATGCACCTCTAGTCTCATTGTTGTGTGTTAATTCCTGTTTGGCATCTTCAGTGGATTTACAGAGAGTTCAGGTCAGTAAAAATAAAATAAAAAAAATAGACAAGCCTGTGCATGGTGACTCAGAAGCAAGTCCCATGTAATTCAATGGAACTTACTCCCGGATAAATGTGTATAGAATTGCAGCCTGAAATAAGGTAACTTCCTCAATGGTTTCAATGGGAGTGCCTTAAGCATATGCTTAACTCTAATTGTAAATATATAGGACTCAATTTGTGCTTAATTTGTGCAGATTGTGCCCATTATGCACACACGCTACTTAGAAATATGTATATTTTCCTTTCATAGACTACCTGCAACATTTCCTTCTTTTATCATTTCATGACATTATGCAACATCCCAGTGTAAAATAAAGATTTTGAAATGTGTGCTGCCCCCTAGAGGCAAGGGAGTGAACAAGGGTATTGAAATTTTCGGTAAAGTAACTTAGAATCATAGAATTGTAGAGTTGGTAGGGAACCTGAGGATCATCTAGTCCAACCCCTCCCCTGCAAGGCAGGAATGTGCAGCAGTCACATATGGGGATCAAACCTGCAACTTTGGCATTATCAGCACCACACTCTAATCAGCTGAGCTATCTTAACTACAAAACTAAAGGGCTAGAAATCTGCAATTTTTCTAGAAAAAGAGGTGCTGGGGAAAAAAGCCCTAGCGAAGACTGATATACAGTACAGGTGATTGCAGCAAGCCTGGAGCCACAATGTTTATCAATGTTGCAGTCAATATGGTGCTATGAATGTTTGTAGCAAGAAGTCTGATGTGTGTTGCAAGGCCTAAAGTCAGGGCTATGTACACTTCAGTAGCTTGAAAAGCAGCGAGGTCATTTCCCCCTCCCTGCATTTCACGTCATATTCTTATGCTGTTATACAGAACAGAGAGGGGAAGTGGATGTCTTCCCATTACCTGATTTGTTTCCCTGCCCCCACGCCAAACACCAATTCTCTGTCATCTGCGCATGTACATCTGTCGTGTACACACCTCGGCTTAACCCCAGCTTCTGCTTTCAAATAGGATGGAAGTTGCTTCAAAGGGAAGCACATCCAACAGGAGTATTTCTCGTGGTGCTACAGGATAACATAAGAACATAAGAAGAGCCTGCTGGATCAAGGCAGCGGCCCATTCTAGCCCAGCATCCTGTTCTCACAGGGATCAACCAGATGCATGTAGTAAACTCACAAGCAGGACCTGAGCACAAGAGCAGGCTCCCTGCTGTGGTTTTCAGCAATTGGTATTCAGAAGCATTGATGTCTCCAACTGTCAAGGCAGAGCATAGCCCCAATTAACTATCTATTCCTTGAGACATGGCTAACATCATGCGTAAAGGTAAAGGTAACCCTGACCGTTAGGTCCAGTTGCAGACGACTCTGGGGCTGTGGCACTTATCTCGCTCTATAGGCTGAGGGAGCCGGCGTTTGTCCACAGACAGCTTCCGGGTCATGTGATCAGCATGACTAAGACGCTTCTGGCGAACCAGAGCAGCACACAGAAATGCCGTTTACCTTCCTGCCAGAGCGGTACCTATTTATCTACTTGCACTTGACACGCTTTTGAACTGCTAGGTGGGCAGGAGCAGGGACCAAACAATGGGAGCTTCCCCGTTGCGGGATTCGAACCGCTGATCATCTGATCAGCAAGCCCTAGGCTCTGTGGTTTAGACCACAGCACCACCTGCGTCCCTAACATCATGCGTATTTGGCTTCAAACCCTAGCGGTGGGAGCACATTGGCAATGTGGACAATGGACATAGCCTGAAAGAGGCCCAGAGGAGATGACAGAAATGAAGAGGGGCTGTAAGGAAGCAATTTCCTGCAAGTGACTTCAAATGCCAATGGGCTGTTTGTTTGCCTGCCATTTACTTAAACAGCTGTAATCAGGAAGTCATTTTCCAAATTATGTGAAAACACTTTGGCAATATCTCATGATATACCCATTAAGGGATCTGGAGGGCTTTGCCATTTTACAAGCTGGAAATGCCACTAATTAAGGGGCAATTTGCATGGCCATTGTTCACGGACATAAGTCAACCAAGTGGACTTCTGTGGGGGGATTGATTTGTGCATTCTGTGCCTTGAATGGGTATTCCAAAGGCTCCAACTTCTTGAGAACCCAAGATGTGGTGGTTCATAAACAGGTTCAGCTTGCTCAAGTCTACTGAAGCCATCAGCTGTGTGAGATCTAACAATTCTTAAACAGGGAATATAATGATTATGTTGTTGTTTTTCATGGGCAAGGAGTCCACCTCATCAGATGCATGAAGCGTCATCTTCTGCTGCAGGTATATTCATGTGGTTGAGAGAAGAAATGTAAACAGTGAGCTCAAGGGGAAATGAAACACGGAGACTATGAACAGTAATAATTACGTTAGCTCAGTTCTCCTTCCTGTGGTTGGAATTGGAATAATTCCCATCCCACTACAAGTCTTAATCATCTTACCAATACCAGGATGTTTGTGTTATTGTCATCAATGCTGTTTTGTGAATATTGAAGGCAGGCTGCTTCTAGGCTTCAGTGTTTTGCAGGAAGGATTCAAGCATATACTGTAAATTTACACAATTAAAGTGGATTAAAGTGCTCTTGAGAAACAAAACCAGTTTGCCTGTCTTCCCAAGTGATGTGTAAAAATTGAGAACAATCATAGAGTTGTAGAGTTGGAAGCGACCCTGAGGATTATCTGGTCCAACCCCTTGAAATTTGTCCTGCACGGGGATAGAACCTGCAACGTTGCCATTATCAGTACCACACTCTAACCAACTGAGTTATCCAGGCTGACAATAGACCAGTGGATGTCCTCCTTGATGCCAAGCACCTTCTTATAACCTTAGTAAAGTGCCAGGTGTTCATTTTGTCCACGTGAATGCTCTCAGCATGTATCCAAGAAACCAGGGTTCCAGTCCCCATCCAGGCATGAAGGTGACTGGGTGGCCTTGGGCCAGTTGCTACCTCTCAGCTCAACCTACCTCACAGGGTTGTTGAGGGGAGTGAACAAGGAGGGGGAGAACCATGTGCGCTCCTTGGAGGAAAAGGTGGGATATAAATGCAATAAACAAATAGTAATGCTGGACAAAAAGTAACACAAAAACCACACATCCCAGCAAATTCAGGCTGTGCAATTAAAGGTGATTTGAAGCTCTTGTGGAACAAATGTGCTTCTCCAAAAGATAGGATTTCTTGCAATACGGAAAGCGATGAAAAAATGCCCTGGAAAGCAGGAGACAGCAGTTGCTTTGATGCAACATTATCTAACTTCCCCACAAAGAAATTGGGATGAATGCTCAAGAAATGGCTGATATCGTCTAATCTCTCTGCCAACCAATCAGGCTGAAGGCTTATTAAGCAGGTTGTTTTGAAATGAACCCACTTTTCAAACAAACAAACAAAAATAGCTATTTAAAACTTTCAAAAAAACCCTTAAATTTGACAATAAGTTGCAAACCTAAACAAAATTGTTTTTAGCAGGTGCCGAAAAGAGTACAGTGAATGTCAATAGGCAGGGAGTTCCAAAGTGTGGGTCCTGCCACACTAAAAGATCAATTTTTTACAATTGATATACACATTATGTAGCACCTGTAACAGTGCTAGTTCTGCAGACTGAAGCAGTTGAATCAGCATATATGAGGTAAAGCGATACTGTATTGTAGGTAATCTAGTCCCAAGCTGTTAAGGCCTGGCTTGGTAGCAAATCAGCGACCAGTGCAGGTCTCTGAGCACAGGTGTTACATGGTGACAAGGCCTCACTCCTGTCAGCAATTGTACTGCAGCATTCTGCACTAACTGCAGCTTCTGGCTCAAGTGCAAGGGAAGTCCTACAGAGTGCATCCTTTTCTTGTCTCCTCTATTTCAGATGTGGGCAGGTTTCTTTGGTTTGTGTGGGGTGGGGATACATCCTATTCTCCCGACAGTGGCCTGGGAGGAGCAGGAATTTATTCTGCCCCCCAACCTGACTGGGTGGTCAGTCTCTTCCATAAAGCAGGAATTTTGCTTTGTATTTATGGAACAAGCACACGCAGCCATGGCCGAAACCTTCCATGTTTAAGATAAAGGATGGGATTTCTTACTCACTTTCACATGGACAACTTTTGAAAAGGAGTTCATTTCCTTTAGGGCAAACTTTAAAAAATAAAAATTCCTTGATTAAACTTTGGTACAGATGCCAGGAGCCAGATTGAATTGCTTTCAGAGCCGGATTTGGTCCCTTGGGCCACCAGTTGACAGCCGTGATGGAGCCACTTGGTAATGATGTGTCCCAACCATCCCACAGGAGGTCACGTTCAGATATAATGGATTGCAAGGGGGGCATTAACTAGCTGAAGGGGGAATAGCTGTGCCACATCCGTGCAGGAGGATTTTGATCAGCACGTTGGGGGGGGAGTGGGAGGTGCGCAGCGCACCAGAGGGACAGCACACAGCTTGCCGACAAAAAGCAAAGTGGTGTGTGTGTGTGTACGGGAGGTCCAGAAGGCAGACCTTGCTGCTGTTTTTAATTTGATTTTTCTCCCTCTTTGTTTTGTTTTGAAAGGAAATACATGAGTTGCTTCCAAGATCAGGAATTGTGACTTATCAGCTTCATCTCAAAGTATAAGCCTTAATTAAAGGGAAGCTTGCTTATTTCAAAATAAGGGCGCTTCCTGATCGATGTTTGTTGCGGGATCAGTGCTGTTCATGTGTTCAAGGTTTTATTTTTGCAGCATCCGCACAGAATTCTTAGCCTCAAATGGCAGCTCGTATTCTCCACCCCACCCCCAGTTTAATCCAAATTTATCCTTTCTGCAGACAATTCACTCCCCCCCCCCAAGAAACCTGCAGAAGCCAGCTGTTTGAAATATTAAGCCTTCAATTAAGCCTGGTCTAGAAGCCCCCATGAAGGTAGTGATGGAGATAATTATGGGATTGGATGCTGGAAACTTGGGTTCAAATCTCCGTTCGGCCATGAAACCTAACTTGGGGTAGGCGATATGGTGTCTGTTGGATGTTATTGGACCACAACTCCCATCAGCCCCAGCCAGCATGACTGATGGTCACCGGCGAAGGGACTTGTAGTGTATCCAACATTTGGAAGGTGCTGCATTGACTACCTGTTCTGACAAAACATAGTTTTGATTTGGTTTATATCACAGCCTGTCTCATGAGACTGAGGTTGGTGAGGCAGTGCCCCCATTTGCCCTAATGGGGGGGGGGCTTCCACTGCCATTGAACACTGTGGGACTTTACCTCAGCGTAAACATACACAGGGTTAGGCTGCACCCCTCTTTTCCTCCTGATGGCTATAGGGCAGCTATTAGATTATTTAAGCAGTCCCCATGTTCTGGAGAGACCGTGCTATTTCTGGTCTCTGTAGCCATGGTTGCTCTGATGCCTTACTCTTCCCCGAGATCATCCACGTGACTGTGCTCTCTTTTTAAAAGAAGGCCAGACGTCTGCTAAGAAAAGAGCTCTCTCTCTCTCTCTCTCTGTGTGTGTGTGTGTGTGTGTGTGTGTGTTGCACCTATTGCCTTGAGAGCCCAATTACCTGACAGAGCTGCTAGGCGGAAAGAGATGGAAAACTCTGGGAGAGAAAGGGTTACGGGCGGCTCCAGTTGCATAATTCTTTTAATGGGTTGTTGTTTTCTCATAGGCCTTTCATAAATAGGCAGGTGCTGGAGGGGGGGAGGGCGGGGAAAGGTGGATGGAAGTTTCTTTGGAGTCATGGCAGGCCTACAGCTGTAATTTGCGACAGGGTGACTAACTTAATTACCAGCTTCACAGGTTCCACTCGCTCCCTGCTACCTCCAGGAGATTATATTCATTTACATCTGGGCTCTTCATTCTTCTTTTGTTGGAACTACCACTGCTGTCCTTCTTCCTGATTACATACTGGGGGAGGGGGCCCACACCACCAAACACCCCCCCCCCCACAATAATTATCCCAGGCTATTTTTTGCAAAGCAGACAAAGGACAGTGGTCAGTAAACAATGTGCTGCTGTCTGTGCTGGGAGTGTGACTTTCTTTCAGCTGGCTCTGCACCTGTGCCTTTAACTAGGGCTCAGCCAAAAATGTATATGCGTGGGTGGGGTGGGGGTGGGGGTGGGGTGTCAGGGAATGATTTGTTATATTTTTTGGAAAGCTACTCTCAGCCTAAATTTTTGCCTTTTCTTGTTCTCGTAGGAGTAGCGATGGGGCTCTCGGAGTCACAGTGGTGGGGAGGCACCATTATTCTTCACCCCCACAGGCCCTGCACTGTGTTGGGGCACATATTAGAGCGGTTGTGGTTTTTTTTAAAGAACACCATTCCCTCATGACGTTCTCCCAGGTAAAAATATCCTCCCCTGTTACAGCGGTACCTTGGGTTAGAGATGCTTCAGGTTACAGACGCTTCAGGTTACAGACTCCGCTAACCCAGAAATAGTACCTTGGGTTAAGAACTTTGCTTCAGGATGAGAACAGAAACCGTGTGGCAGCGGGAGGCCCCATTAGCTAAAGTGGTACCTCAGGTTAAGAACAGGTTCAGGTTAACAACGGACTTCTGGAACAAATTAAGTTCTTAACCTGAGGTACCACTGTATTTGGCTGATGAGGCAAAATGTATGCCTAGCCTATGGAACATGTTGCAACAAAGTTGTGGTCCTCGCCTCCCTCCCACTCTTGTTTTAAGTTTTGTGAAACTGCCTGGTGATTGTATATCGAAGTTTAGAGCACTATATATATATATATATATATATATATATACGGGATAGATATGCTAGATAAAATTGCTGCCACAAACGCTGCTAACAAGCAGCACCAGATTTAGTGCCAGTTTGGCACTTGGCACACCACGGCAGGAGCAGCTTTTTGAATGCTTGCGACGACATGCCCAAAGCCAGCCTGTCCCAATTTTGACATTTGCCACCATGTTATAGGAAAATCCTTGGGCTCACTTGGATTACCAAACAAAGACCCCAGCCAGGAATAGAGGAGCAAAACAGCAGCCAGTAGGCCTGGTCTTGCAACAAGACTTCCACCCACCACATGGGAGAAGTAGGAAGACGCCCTGAACAAAGGAAGGTTCTTACTTTTATCAGTTTCCAAAAGTTACTAGTAACACCCCTAAAACTACATCACACTTAACATCATAAGTACATCATACATTGGGAGGGTGCAGTAACCTGAGCATCAGGGCATGCCCCCACCCTTCCCTTGACCTCCACCATATACCCATCAAGTGATACAAAAGAAATATTTACATTTCCCTGTTTCCCAGCCAAGTTTGTTGTTCTTTAGTCATTTAGTCGTGTCCGACTCTTCGTGACCCCATGGACCAGAGCACGCCAGGCACTCCTGTCTTCCCCTGCCTCCCACAGCTTGGTCAAACTCATGTTCGTAGCTTTGAGAACTCTGTCCAACCATCTCATCCTCTGTCGTCCCCTTCTCCTTGTGCCCTCCATCTTTCCCAACATCAGGGCCTTTTCCAGGGAGTCTTCTCTTCTCATGAGGTGGCCAAAGTATTGGAGCCTCAGCTTCAGGATCTGTCCTTCCAGTGAGTACTCAGGACTGATTTCCTTAAGAATGGATAGGTTTTTGCAGTCCATGGGACTCTCAAGAGTCTCCTCCAGCACCATAATTCAAAAGCATCAATTCTTCAGCCATCAGCCTTCTTTATGGTCCAGCTCTCACTTCCATACATCCCTACTGGGAAAACCATAGCTTGGCAAGGTCACACCCTTTTGTCTTCATCTGGGTCTGTTATTGTTTCTGGAATAGCTACCTGTCTGGCACCCAGGTATCAGGATGCCAGAGATTATCACTCAGG